ATGGTGAAACTGAATGAATGTGAAATATTTTCTGACCTTTACCTTCTCAGAGGGTTCTGACAGTAATATAGACCCCCACAAAGTTTACAAGGGTTCTTTACAAACATGCACAAAAACTATCATATATATGTCTTTGGTTGATGAGTGCCAAGAGAGCAAAGAAGGGACGAGATTGTCAAAGCGTTAAAACACGCCAACGCCAGGGAACGGCTGGCATCGTCCGGGCATTAAAACACGCCCGCGCCAGTCAAAGAGTTAACTGAATTATGTTGAAACAGACACTAGTATAGGAACTGGGATAGTGCTGTCAGTATAGTTACTGACTATGGGCTGAATGGCTGACCAGTTGGAGTTCCTGGTAGGTGCAAGATTTTTCTTGTCTTCATGTCATCTGGGCTGGTTTTGGTGCGCACCCTGTATCCTGTCCAGGGCTCTGTCCCTATGGCTAAAGTGGCAGGGGCATGAAGCTGACCACATCTGTACCTAGTGCTAAGGGCAAGGTTACATGCATCTGGACATTCACTCCACCATAAACCTACATTGCTTAGTGCTTAATTTGTTAAGCACAGGGACAACTTAACTTTTTTATACCTAGCACTGGTGTAGCATAACCCAGAGACCCAACATTATAAATACCAAAGCTAACCACAGGACACAACCATGTAAAAGTTCCGTCCATCCCCCATCTTTACGAGTTCTTGTAAGATCTGTCATAATACTATCGTCCCCTTTACACTTTGTTCCTTCAGTTTCATGTTCAGAATGTTTGCAGACCAGAACTAGGTGTTCTGGTTTTGCCCCATCCTACCCACATGACATTTCTATCATAGCCTCCTGTATTTCCTGATTTTAACAGCAAAGGAGCTTTGTCTGACAAATTTTTCATCAGAACCTATAAAGAACCCTATACCATAGTTGTAGCATGAACATGCAAGGTTGAGTTAAACGTTTTTGGCTTCAGAAACTGGATCTGTTGGCATATCTGAAAAATATGTAAATTTACTGAAGGAGTTAAAAGATTTTAACTGTCTTATTTGCTAATTTCATTTCAGGCACGTCCAAAGCACATGGCTTGCATTTCAGTGAGTTCCTTCCATCTTGCAACAAGGCAGATTTGTCAGTACCAGAAGAGCTGTGGACTGGAAGAGGTTTCAGCCATCCCTGATACACGTGATTTGGTTGCCATCTCACAGTGCAAATGCACCTTGGGAGATCTGACTAGAATGGAGGGTATTATCTCAAGCAAGTTGGACACAGAGCCTGGTCTCCTGCCCATCACCCCACTCACATTCCTGCAGCTTTTCCATGCACTCTTCATAGCTGCTGCAGAGCGACTTGGTGTTGGTCCTCTTTATGCCAAGATGGTAGCAGCTCCATCTCTGTGGCTTCGCTTAGAGATCTTAGCCTGTGATGCAGCTTGTGCTAACTTCAGGGCAAGTGAAGTTGCATTGGTGCTTCTCTGTACTCAACTGGATTCTGGAGTTGCAGACCTTGGCACCAGGCAGGACCCCAGTACTGGTGCTGAGATCATGCGACTTGTAAACTTTGCCATTGAGCTACAGAAACTCTGCAAGGTAAGTTGTTGGTTGGGGCAAGATGTAGGGCTTGTAGTGAGATAGTTGCTGTTTTACAAACATCTACCAAGCCACAGTTGTACTTGTAGCTTGTGAGTAGATTTGAGTCAGGATATCTGCATGGGGAGAGAAGTTAATGAGACAAAGCATAAATGTGAGGATACAATTAATAATGGTGGGGGGGCACATGGTGGCATAGTTGGTTGAGGCACTATGCTACAAGCCGGAAGGTCGCGGCTTCAAGTCCCGATGAGTTAATTGGATTTTTTCAATTGACCTAATCCCTCTGGCTGCGCTAAGGCCCTGGGGTCGACTCAGCCTGTAGCAGAAATGAGCACCAGGAATATTCTTGGGGGCTGACATAGGGCTGACAACCTTGCTGCCATCTATGAGCCGATTGTCTAGAAAAATGTGTGGACCCCAACGTCTCACAACCCTATTGGCCTCCACAGCTTGTTACAGGGATACCTTTACTTTACTTACTTACAAGTGATATGGATCTTGAAGAAATAGGATGTCAAGATGTGAGCTGGATTCAACAAGCTCAGGCTAGATGCCGATGGCAGACTTGTGAGTAAATTATTACTGAAAGAAACACTCTTTGTTCCTATTATGTTGAATGCAACATGAAAGTGTTAACATGGTTTGCAGGATGAAGTGTCTTCTTCATTGTCTACTGAAGATTCTAAGGAACTGAATTTTGATATAAAATTGATATCAGAGTTCCTATCATTTACACTTTCTGCAGTTCTGTGTAATCATTGCTTGTAATCTTTTCTTTTCACTGACTGTATATTGGCAGAACCTGCAAACATGAGGAAGGTGTTACCATGCATCCGATGTCAGTTGCTGTGTCTTGTATGATATCAGTATTTCCACATAGATGAATCAAGGATAGAGGAAGAGAGGGAAAATAGAAGAGAACAGTTCCAGGCAGTTTTTAATCCTTGAAGATCTGAATAACCCCTTAAGCAACATGTGTTCATAAATGATGTGATGAAATACCATTTTGTTAAAACTATTAGAAGAGGTGTACTAAATTGACATAAGTTGAAACTGACAGTTTCTCTCTGTTAAATGTATTTAGGTCAATTTTGGCAGTACGGATGTTAATTTTTTGGCTGGATTGAGTTTCACTCTTGGGTTCTGTGTACAGATTCCAGACAGCAGCTTTTTCTGCTGCCATGAAGTAGTTCTGCTGATCCTGGCAAGGTATAATGCACAATGCCAGATGCCTCATCGCCAGCGCCTTGTGTGGAAATTGTCCCAACGTACATTACGGTATTTGCGGCCCACTGACAAATTGACCTCCATTATGCCCACCATTGATGAACATGGGCAGCTGCAAATGCCTACACGTATCAGGTGAACATATAACAATCAAAATATAACTCTGCCTTTAAAATGGTGTGGAAAAAGGAAAATAATTATGAATGAAATGTTTATTTTGGTAGTATATTTCAGGAAAGATTATGTGATATCATTTAATAGTATTCACATGTTTCCCAATCAAAACAACAGTCTCCCCACTTTGCTTAATGAATGCTGTAAAGACAAATTGTTATGAATTTAACTGTGCGTCAGAGAATGTGGAATTTATAAGCTTGTAGATTGTTGCTAATTGTACAGAGACTTATTACAAAAGATAAGAAAGGTATGCGTGGAATAACTAAGATTTTCATAATAAATACACGGTTAAAAGGTTTTAATACAAACAGTAATAATGTTTAATTGTAATATTTTGGTGTTGCAATCTAGAAGTTGGTTTTCATACAGTTTAGAAATGAGGACTATGTGGAATACAGTCAGACTTTTCTGAAGTGTTTGTTCAGGAGTTGTTGTAGATTTTGTAGGTCACCTTGCTAATTTCTCTGGACTAAGAAAATTGAATTGGCCTTGCAAGAATACAGCAGAGGACTTTTGAGGAAGTTTGATTTTAATTTATTGTCATGTATTTCTATATGCAGATCTGGTAGCGTCAGCTCCGATGAGAGTTGGGATTCAGAGAAAGAAGATGTAGCTGCAGAATGGGCTCCACCACTGAACCCTGCTGAATGGACTGTTGGAGCTATGAATCCATTGCCAGAAGAGGATGAATCCATTGTTAAAGGTGCTTCATCGAAGTTCCTGCGTGATGCTATGGCAGCTTAATTCCATAGGCCTCAGCTATTCTGGGAAGTATTGGTACAGTAATTGCCCATGTATTCTTTGTGCTGATTTCTTCTATGTAAAAATAAATTGAACATATGCTGTGAAAATATTGTAAAAAAAGTACAAAAAATTTAAAATGCTCATCTAAAAAGTGTATGCACACAGTGATTAATGTACTGTAAACAAAAGGTGGCTTGACTTGAATTTCTCTCCAGAATGTGTACTGTGGAGCTTCTGTTTCATTGTGGTGGGAGAAAAGAGGAAATCCCAAACTTTAATGGTGTTATGCTAGTCAGTCTTGTTACCACGACAATTTTTAATTTCATAGTGGCATTATGGAGACAAGGTGTGCAGCAGATGTATTGCTATAGGTGATTTACTAGTGATATTTGAGATAAGTTGCGATATTTGTAGAGCTGTAAGAATACATATGTTTATTAGTGATATGTATATTATAAAATAGAACTTTTCTGTTGGTTGTTTCTGTGGGATTAGCATTTTCTGTCTGACCCCCTAATTTCCCCAAAATATTTACTGTTATGCTACATCTGCTGTAAACTAGGCATTTCATATCCAGCGGGTTCGGTTCACTAGAACACTGCCATTCATTGCTGTGAATATCTGCTTATCTGTTGTAAATCACAGCTATTATTTTTAGTAATGGATGTGTACTGTGACAAATTTTTATTTGCAAGTTAATGATAGCATTTAATAATTGTGGTTCCAAAATCTTAGTTGTAAATCTCAGGGGGAAAGAATGCAATGTTGCAAAATATACATCACTGCATAAAATAACAGGACCATTTAAAAAGCACAATGAACCACAAGAATGAAAGTACAAATAATAATTGAATCGTGTGTAACAAAACTATTACTGTGAACGTTTTCTAAGGTGCAAGGACTTTCATTGGTTTGATTGACTGATTCAGCTGCTATATACTTTAAGCATTTGGTGACAGCTCCTGCAAAGGGCTTGTATATATAATTTCCAAGCAACATTGAGTCTTTGAAAATTAATTTAATCCAGCCATCTGTTAGCCGATTTGTTTACAAGTAAGGCTGATGAATATGTGAAACATTTAGTGTTCTAGAAAATAAGTATGTTTGTTTTTATAAATAATATAGCCTAAATAGCAACAGAACTGATGCATGTACAACCCTGGAAGTCAGATGTTCCCATACATTTCAGTATTGTACACTGCAGTTAGTGTTTGTTTTTCATATAAATATATATTAATGATGGATGAATGTCCTTTTCTACATGAAAAAGTTAAGCTGCAGGCAATAGAATTTATTTTTATTTAAATATGAATAACATTGTCTTTTATATGTACAATATAACTATGTATATCTGTTACATGTGTAACTTTGATTTCATGCAGAAACATGAATTAACTAATATTGTGGCTTCTTGCACTCTTGACAACCCCAGTTGGCACTTGGTTGTTGAAAACGATGTATATGTTTTATGTGTATTTGAAATTTTGTAAATTAAAATTCGGAACTGTATGTGTGTTGAAATTTCCAGTGTATGATATAAATTGTTTCATTCTTGGTGGAAAATACAAGATTAGTAAATAATAACAGTTATATGTACAGTTTATTTTGGTACTAGTTCATCTTACTAATAAAATTATTCAATTGTAGCAAGCTGAACCTCTATACAAAGGGACACTCTTGCTTCATTTATAATTTTACAAAATGAATGTTTGTTGTTTATCATACTATTTTTCTTCTTTAATTATGTTCCGTCCCATTTCTTGCAGCAGAAAACAAAGGGGTGGGGTGTACTGTCAATCACTACAAGACAGTCCAGTTCCTGGGAGCCTTGAGGGTTCATCATGCATTATTACCTATTCCGAAATTATTGTTTCATGGAATCAGATCGCATGGAATAAAATAATACACTACCAGAATAGAGAAATGATTTACAGTGTGAACAGATTCATGAAATGGGAGATAGAATGGAGATGTGTTCTGAACTAAGGGCAAAACAGCTACTGAAGTAACGGGGATTTTTCACAGTAGCATGCACAGGATTCTGAAAGAGGGAGAATGAAGTGTTACAGAAGGCAGACCATCATGTCACAAAAGAAAAGATTTGGAAAGAAAACAAAAATCAGAAGTAGACAATTTTTCTCCACGTCATTCAGACCAGTTTTGGGGCTCACACAGCCTCCTATCCAGTGGGTACTGGGGGCTCTTTCCTTGAGAGTAAAGCGGCCACAGCGAGAAGGTGACCATTCACCAGCTAGTGCTGCGCTCAAGCATACATGGATCTATTGATCCACTCCTTCATACTTCTTCATGGCATAGATCTCAATTAAGCATAGGAACAACTTTATAATTTCTGTGACAGTTTACGAATTTCATGTCACTAAAAGGCAGTGCCCATCACCAAAAGGATTACTTCCAATTCTGAAGAGTAAAATGAACTCCAAGAAAAATATGAGGGCTATATGATATACTGTCAGGAAGTCAGGCTTAAGGTATCAGAAATCCAGGGACAGTCAAATAGTGTTGTTAGGAGAGGTACATGTTCCCATATTACCATATTTGAGAATATTAAGAATTAAGGCAACAGGGATGATCAATAATTTACACTCACGAAATATATATATATACATGCTTCTCACTCAGGTTGTCTTGCACCTGTTTCAGAGGACCAGTGAGTTATAATTTCCTGTGCCAGAAATGAAAATTTGTTTATTCCAGTTGGTGCACAAATGTTTAAATTGTGTCAGAAATGCTGCAGTTTTCATGATAATTAGAAAATTTATAATTATGAGAAAATATACAGTGCAGCCTAATTATAACTCTTCCTAGAAATTATGTCATAATTGCATTCAGTGCAGCCTGTTAACAATTTTCAGTCCAACACAGCATTACTGTTTCTGAACCAAAAACAAGTGTATGGAGAATGCATATTTTGCAGTAGACTAGTAGCTAGAATTTCCAGCTGACCCCTACTTCTTGATGCTGTTTCTCCCACGCAACCATCCTACTTTCACCAAGTGTCATGCAAACCTTGGAATGGTATATGTTTATATGGGAGGTTGAAAACATTTAAACTTGAGTGGCAGTATAAATATCAAAATATTAGCTTGGCTGATAGGCTTTTCATTATATATATGACAGCTGCTGTCATGTCTGTGTATTTACTTCGTTTCTATGCAACCTAAATTTATTCAGTTTTTGTGCCTAATAAATGATGATAGATATGTTAGAAAACTTTGATACTGTAACAAAAAGTAATTGTGTTTTTTGCATTTCCATGATATGTTCTTCATATGCTGCCAATATCATCCTTGACCTAATCACCCTAATACTGGCAAACAGTAAAAATTGTGGAGCTCCTCATTATGCAATTACCTGCAATCTTCTGTCACTACCTCTGATTACCATTGGCACCTTGCTCTCTTTGCTTAATGCAACAGATCAAGTTGTAGGCAGCAGATTTGTTGTTTGCAAGAGCATTAGATGCCCTTACGATAGGGCAGTAACATAGTCGCAAGTAGGCATTTTGCCTTTCAAGTGTCTGCTGCCAAAATGCTGCAGTAGCAAAACATTTGTCTACAGAATTGCACTGTATCAGACTGTAACAGTGGACAGTAAGATAGACAGTGGTAACACTACAGTTTCACACTAAAAGTCATCTTGAATGCTAAATTTGAAACATTTGTTACAATAGAGTATTTTTGTTTTGTTTCCTCATAATGAATTCCCTCTAGGAAAATTGACCTATCTTCTTTAGCTTATTCATTTATTTAATGATGATACCAGCAATGGTGACTATAGTGTTGAATGATAGAGTTGGTTGGCCAGGAAATTTGCCTACAAACATACGTATAAGTCATGCAAGACTTTTTACTGATCACCTTATGGCGTTAGGATTGACGAATATTTGAAAGTGTTTTTATTATTAAATTTTTTCAGCAAATAAATCCATGGAGAGGGCAGATGCCTGGCATCCCTACCAGCACCCACAGAAATTTGGCAGCTAATGCTGTGTGGCATAATTTAAAATTAGTTTGTGGTAAAGACTAGTGTGCTGTTTTTTAAGTTATAATTTTCTTAATTGTGAGAACTTGTAAGTGTAAAGTTTAATTGATAATGAAACTATGCCAGAAATAAGTAGGTATGTTTAAGTCTGCCTATTACTAGTGATGTATCAAGTGACTGGCAGTGAGTTTTATATTTAATATCATTCTGAAACATGAAAAAGGCCATGCCATAGCTCAAGCAGTTAGTCACTGTCTTCCCACCACGGTGCCCCGGGTTCGATCCCCGGTCTGGTCAAGTGGGATTTGTGGTGGACAGAGTGGCGCTGAGGCGGGTTTTCTCCGAGTACATCAGTTTCCCCTGCCAATTTTCATTCCACAAAATTCTCTATCATCCTAATCACCTGGGCAGGTTACAATAGGCCAATCAGTGGCCGCTATGCCAAGTGGACCCAGTTGGACTCCACACCCCACTAAGCGAATTAAAAAAAAACATGAAATCTGTTCTAAACATAAAAGAACCAAGCTCTTAAAAGTTGATGCACAACACAATTTTTAACATCTTAGGTATGAACCACTTCAGATTTTATAAAGAATTGTGTGCTTTACCCTTCAGTATGCACATTCTGATAACATGATTATAAATGTGATCAACTGAGGTTTCAAATGCATTTAAATGAACTTTGTACTTCAGTGTAGATAACATGGTAAAAGTAAACATCAGGTATATATTTAATCTATTACGAAACTAACTAGCTTGCCCCATGAAGTAGAATGTACCTTGAGAAGGTGATAGTTGTTAACCTAGTAAAGAATTTCCTGCCATTCATGGAACCCAAGTCATTGTATGAAAAATATAATGATGATGCCACAGGTTATGACTAAGATTATACTGTCACAATATTATTGACTATAGGCGGGCTGTGGATTGGTAGTTGGATATATTGAACTCTTACTACTTGTAACTACAAGTAAGGACTATGTTTTCACTGTTCTGCACACTTCACAAATCACTATAGGACAGTAGGACTTCTCAGTCTGTTACATACTTCACTAGCCGTTGCTCAGTAGTGGCTTCAATGGTGAACATTCCCCATCCTGTTGGTTCCTGAACTGTCTGTGACCTCAGCTATCAGCTTCTCACAGCAATAGCTCACAACAACTGAACCCCAGTGGTTATCTAACTCACTCACCAACCACTAACTTGTCCTGTTTATAACATCTCAGCATGGACTCCATAGAAAACACCATTTCTTTGTTGCAGGGAAGTTGTTGCGTTTGTGTCTGTTGGGGTGCCCACATGATCATTGCTCGGCTGTTGTTTGGAGACCCTTTACTTAGCCATGGCTCTTGTATAGTTTGCTTCTTTCATGTTCATTGCCTAGCAGTGGGTCCACATGCCACAATATATTTGGAAATGAAAGTTTTACAAGGAAAGGTGAAAACAGTTTCTTTTCCCTTGCATGTAGCCAAGACCGCCGCAGACAATGGTGTGACACTATATAGTCTTGACACTGACAGCAGCATTAAATAACAAACAGAAAAGAGTCATTCAGTAGCTTTTGTGCCTTCCATTGCTACCAGGAATCAAGGCTGGCCTGACGATACTGAGGTGTATAGACCTGTTGCTAAGCAGTGACTATGAAAAGAGTGACCATTGCAGAGCAGCAGCTCGGTAAACACAATTGTGCTGCAACGAATATGCATGCAACAATAGAGTTAGAGTGTTTCTGCGTGGTCTGTGCTGAGATGTTATAAGCAAGGGAGAAAGTCAGTTGTTAGGCACTTCTGCATGGGAGGCTGTGAAGATAGTGCCTAAGCATGTGAAGCTGAAGAACCTCCACTGTTAGAAGCCGTTGCCAAGGACTGGCTTGTGAAGCCAGCAGGTTGGAGAAACCTAGCAGGTGCTGTGGAGATTAGAAGTGGCACTGTAATTACTTGTAGTTCTAAGATTTGTGTGCATAAGTGGTCAGTAAATCCATTCACCAATCCAAACCCCATCTGTAGTCACTCTAAATTGTGACAGTACAATGGATTGGATAAAACAGTATGACTGATATCTGTTGATACATGTTAAACATTTTGTTTACTCACAAGGTACTGACATTTAACTTTAATTTAAGTATTCTTATTAGTCATCACATTGTTTCTAATGATATAATACAAAAATGTCAACAACAGAGAAGAAATAACAGTGCTATCCTGTAGTCTCATAAATTTCCAAAACAATAATTTTGTTTTAAAGTATAGCAAATATAAGATTATATTTTTAAATAATTTACAGGTAAAAAATATACATGAGTTCCATTACATCTAAAATCGATTGCAACATGGAAACAAAGTTAAGAATAAACAAAGGGCTGTACAAGTACGAGTATATCAACACATGATTCTTATGAAGTATGCAAGATTATTTTGTGTGCCAGAATGTAGAATTATAATAACATATTATCTTGGACCTTAATTTTAAGAAACTTTAAGTACTATATTTGGTGCATATGATGAATTCTCTCTTGTTGTCAGTAGCATTTTGACACTGGAAAAGTAGATCCAGGTGTTATTCAGAATTCAACCCCCTCCCCCTTCTTTTTAATATAATAAACCCTAATGCCAGGTCAATAAATCTAAAAAAATATTGAGACCTATTAAAAAATGTAGAGCCATCTCTGTAACAGCCCACGAAGGCCCATAGGGTTGTGAGACGTTGAGGCTCACAGATGGTGGTAAGGTTGTCAGACTTATGCGCTGGCCGCCCTTTACCCCTCAGGAAGATTCCTGATACTCACTTCTGTTAGAGACTGAGTCAACCCCAGGGCCATAGTCTGGCCGGAAGGATTAAGTAAATTGAAAACCCCGGTGATCTCATTGGGAATCGAGTCCTCGACTTTTTGGTTTGTAGCACAGTGCCTAGACCAACTATGCAACCATATGCCCCCAGTAAAAGAATCATATTTTTTTTAATTGTTTCATTTTTTCTACCCAAAATTAAAAGATACATATAGTTCTTGACAAATTCTAACAAAATATACAGGCATAGAACCTTCCAGATTTATATTTTTCCATGAATTTGTAACTGCGTTGAAATATATAACCTGTTGCAACATCAGCCCATTTTCATATCTAATTTCATGAGAGGGTTGTAAGTAATTAAATATTCTTATACACAAATCACATCATAAAATTGTACCTACTCCCAAAATTATGATCAATGAAATAGTACATGCTTGCAAAATCTTAGATCATGCTTCAGTTCTGACTGAGAAAGTGGGTTTATTTTAAGGCTATAAACAGGAACTAATCAGTCAGAAACAAAAAAGTAATATTCTAAAATGCTTGTATACTGTAGAGTAGCAACCATTTTGCAGGTGAAATATAGTATGCCAGGTAACACAAACACTTTTTCCGTAATTCAGCAAGTACATACTCTCCCTAATATATGCGAGTAGTTCAGTTTATAAAATATTACACAGTAAATTACACTATCATATCAGGTAAGCCAGCCCCATAAGCCAAGTTACTTTGTGTTGTAGTTGCCACTCGAATCTCATCTGTGTGAGGAATGCGTTGTCGGACATCGCAACCACCTGGCCAAGCACGAGCAGGACTTCTAGTCTCCATACAGTGTTGAGGTAGTGCATCTACTGATAAGCTAACAGTTGCTGGGTCATTTACACCATTAGCTTTGAGACGGCGCTGGGCAGCCATTGTTGCTCTCAGTGTCTTCCGTTTCTGAAAATTCATAAGAAATCATAGTTAATTAGTTTTTAAATTTAAAATTTGATCTGTGGTATGTAATATCATTATTAATTACACTAAATTGGTTACTTCAGATGGATGTTATGGCCTGTATGGTTTTAAAAGAAAACTAAAATTCTTTAATATATTGAACAGTAATTGTTGCTTCTTTGTGTAGTCTTTTTATTTTATATATATGCTTTCATATGTGGATAATAAGTCACTGTTTGCTTGATAATATTGTAATATTGCTCAATTGCTTGAACCTTACATAACGGCATTTATTTTGCTTTATGAGATGCTACATGAAATTATCTCCATTGTACTTTGGTTATGATGTATGGTACATGTACCTAACAGCCTTTTTCACCCCTAAAGAATTAAAAATGATTTCTGCAATTTTGCATTATTTTGCAGAAAGCAACAAAATTGCTAAATTTTCAGACTTGTTAACTGTATATTTTCGGACATAAATGTAACTAAGTTGCACATTGGCAGTTTCAAATTTCAAAATTGTATTCAGATGCTAATTTTCAGTACACTAAATTTAGAAAAGAAATCCAAATAAAAAATGAATCACTGCTTTCATGACTCCTGGTGAAGGTGTTATCCAGTTCTACTGACTAAACTTTAGCTTGAATAGAGCCATTTATGTACAAGAGAATTTTTAAAAGCAGGGTTCCCATAAATCATACTGGCAGCACAGAATCAGAGAAATGTGGAAAGATGGAAATGAAATGTCATTTATCTAATATGTCCAATGAATTTATTTCTTGAGGCTAATCTAACTGTTCTAGATGAGATAAATTGCTGATTCATTACAACACTTTTATATGAGTACATTCCTGTACTGTCTTACTTTTAACCACGATGGCATATAATGGTTGCTAGATGCATTAACATTTGCCAGAGAGAAAAATGACAGTGAATGTAGATTACTTGAGCATAACTTGTTTCCAAAGAACAGAACAGCAATGGGCATTGATCTTGTGGAAGAATTTGTGTATAAGATTAGAATATCTAAATTTGTAAACTTGAGTGAATTTAAATTCTCTTTAAATTTTGAGTAACTCTTCAAATCATACTTTGAAGTTTATGAATAAGAAAAATTAATATAACAGGAAAACCGAAGTCAGCTGTTTTTCTTGATACTCCTACAAAAGGACCTAGGGAACTCTTTCCCATGAGCCATCATTAGATAAAGTTGGCTGTTTTCTCAAAAATGGTTTACCATATCAAGGAAATATGCACGTGGCATTCATCACACCTTCACCTTATTATAATCTGCACTCTTACTCTAATGCCTTTCAGTCCATTGAATGTTTGAGTATCACATGGAATTCAGTGATGTAAGCATGAAAGATATATACTCTTCTGTGTATCTACATGTTCAAGTCTCATTCCTGTAGGAAAACCGTAACATTATTAAACCTGAAAAGCCAGAACTAACTGTTTGTTTTGCTGTGTGTTTCATATAGCAAATATTCAGCAAATGGAAGATCAAACTCCAAACAGTTATAGAAGTTTCTGAAATGTAAAATGGTATCTGTATCTCTTGGAACATACCCCTTTTGGGATGTACTGCTATGTAATCTGGTAAAGTTCTCCGATATTTTGGAGAAAGATACCGCCTCCATCTTCAGGTTCAAAGTGTGAGCCAAGCAAGTAACCAGAAAGAAACACATGGAAGGCAGTGCTCTAAAGATAAGGGCAGTACGTTCCTTCAAGTCATCATTGAACTTTTACCAGACTACATGGCATTACATCTCAGAAGACAGCACTCTTCATAACCACTGCTCTGAGAACCTCAAATCCATCATCATCTTTTAAGTTTCACTTCTTAAGGACAGTTCTGACAGTATCAAATTGTTGAAATAATACACTAATTCCATTAATTTTTGCCTTTTGAAGCCTTTAGATCTGAACTGAAATACTTGGGTGATTGATAATATAAACATTTTATCTAGGTGAAAGTGAAAATTCTCTTGCATAGTTGAAAATTATAGATGTCTGTAAAGAGCTTTAAATANATTTGTATTGCAGAATAAACATCTTTTTTCATCAAATATTGACTCTCATGCTATAAATACCAGACATAGACAAGATCTTTATCTACCTCAAGCTAACTTAACTAGTTTTCAAAAAGGAGTTTACTACGCGGGTATAAAAATGTTTAATAAACTGCCCATAGAGATCAAGAACTCATCTCATAATTTTAAAAAGTTTAAGGTTGAATTAAGATATTTTTTGAATACACATACATTTTATACTGTAGAAGAATATTTAAACAGATAAATTTTAGTATTTATTGTATTCTTGTATCATCTAGACGAGCATAACTATGCATGTATTTTATGTTTTATATTATTTATGATATGTTTTATATCCATTCTTGGATCTTTGTAACTTATTATTGTTGAATACTGTTGGATCCAGATAAGCATAACTGAGTATTTTATGTTTTGTATTATTTATGACATGTTTTATATCCATTTTTTGGATCTTTGAAACTTGTTATTGTTTGATTCATTGTACTATCTAGTCGTGTAATTTATGCATGTATCCTGTTTTATATTTAGTTCTGTGACATGTTCTATATCCTTTTTTGGATTTCTTGAACAAATATAAATACAAATACAAATACAAATACATATATATTGTGGAGTTACATACTTGCATAGTGGTATTACTGGAGTAATAAACTTTATTGTCCAGATATGGGGGTTTTAAGCCCTCAGTTCTACAGGACTGGCGGCTGGATTTAACTCATAGATTAGTATTAAAAAAATGCAATTCTTGGCCATTTGGACTGTGCTCATATCATTACAATAGAACAGTTCATGGACAGTATAGGTTAATCAATAAAATGTAACTTATTCAATCTAAAGTCCCCTGTTTTCTTTATACATGCATATCTCTTCTTTCAGAAGTGTTGGTTAACTTTTGTGCTGCTTGTCCAAATGAATTTAGTTACAGTGCTGCATGCATAATACTACTGAGGTGCAGGCATAAGTCCAAACATGTGATGCCTTTCACATTACTCAAAAGCATTTGCCATGAATATTGAGTTTAATTGATTATTTAAAACATGCACCAATTTTGTATTATGTAGCTGTATTATCATCTTGGCAGGGGTTAAAATAAATAAATAGACAGAATTTAAGTTCAGTAAATTTTATTGTCTATAATTTTTATCTGTACAGACTTAACATTTATAATTGGTCATATTTGCAAGTGACATAACAAATGTACAGTGATATTTAGTGCATGTTTTTGTAATAGGTTCTAAAGATACAAGCTGGATAACTATATGAATATTTTAATAAGGACAATATTGCATGGCAAATGTTAGAAGCATAAATAGTATTAGCACAGAAATATTACCATTAGGTATATTGTGGGTAGAAAGTTATATGTATTGGATTACGATAGACTGGATACACAGGTTAAATTTTGACATACATTTTATTTCATGTGCAGGAATAAATATTTCAGATTGAAAAGAATTTTCTTAAAATTTATGTATAAAAACCAAGAGTAGTTTTCAACATTTCTAAATTAGTCTATGCAGTGAAACCAGGAGACTCAATTAAGAATTTTATTGGTGTTTCTTTTTTTTATCAGTATTCATTATTAAATTAACATCTGAAGAAGTGATTTGTAATATAATAAAGTTAATAGCACTCGAAAGAAATTCATAGCAACTCAGACCATAATAATGATAAAAATGATCAGAAAATTAAGCACTATGTTTTCACTGTATATGTGAAAACAAAACTTAAACACATGTCCAGTATAATGAAGAATGCCAAGAGAAATGTATGTATGTTAATATTTAATTGTGGCTATGCTTTGATATATTCACAGTATCTGAATATCATAAGTTCCTATATATATGTATATGCCTCTTTGCTTGTTCTGTACCTAGTCAAACTCCGACTTCAGTTTTTTTGCTGTTATGGATGGTCCCCACAAATTGACTTGGTTCTAAATGAGGCAACAGGAATGCTCTCGCAGGTTAAGGACACATTTTTTTTAATATGAAGGAAAAGTGCATAATAAGTTTTGAACATTTTTGTTGAATCTGATATATTGTGTAATACCTCAATCATCATTTCAAGGTATGAAATATGTGCACATTAATAAGAAGGAAAAAGGCTGGCTCATATATGTATATGAAAAACAGTGAATATAATGTAGCATGTTTAAGTAAAGAAGAGTCACATGTATGTGCAGAGTCTGTGGCTTAAGTTGTCATTCTGTTAAGTGTTTTACACATATGTTTCTCAAGCTCATGAGGAATTTCAGATAAAGAATATTATAGTCAGATAGTGTAGTTTTCATGATATTCGTACATCTGCACATCTAACAGTTTGGTAGGTTTGTTTTTACTCTGAAAGTGAAGGGTTAGGTTGTCAGGTGAATTTCATGCAGCCTGGTACTGAGGCCTCTTACCTCAGAGTTAGTGACCAGACTGAGAAGCTAAACACTCACCTCCATCTAGGGTCAAGGTTAAGAATGAATGAGCTATACCTCTACTCCCCTATAGGTCCCCATGGCATGGTGCTTAATTAATTAAACACAGGGATAACTTTAAAGAAGGTAAAGCTACAGCTGTCCCTAAAACAGGCTGTGGAAGCCCATAGGGATGTAAGAGGTTGAGGCTCCCACATTTTCTAGACAGTTGGCTCAGAGATGGCGGTGAGGTTGTCACCCTTACACGCCAGCCACCTTTTACCCCAGGAAGGTTCCTGGTGCTCATTTCTCTAGAGGCTGAGCTGATCGCAGGGTCATAGTGTGCCTGGAAGGATTAGGTGAATTAGAAATCAAGTTACCTCATCAGCACTCAAACTCGCGACTTTCTGGCTTGTAGCATAGTGCCTCAACCAACTACACTGCCGTGTGCCAAAATTTTACCTTTACCAGTTGCATATTAATTCGCTTGAATAGTTTGCATTCATTCCTGTGTGAGTGAGCCAGAAGGTTTCCACAGG